TGATCTCGTTCGTGTGACGATGCAGGAGCGGCTCGGTGAACTCAGATCAGCACGACGGCGTCGTCGCTGGTTACGACGCACTGCACAACTGGTGCGTGGTGGGTAGTTCGGGTTCTCGGTCAGCAACGACGGCGTCGCTCTGTCGACAGAGCTGCACAACTGGTCACGCTGTAGTTATGGTTTTCCATATAGAGCCAATCTCGTCTCCTTTTTTTTTTTCAAAACCTAGGCTCTGGGCCAAGAAGAGAATTCTTGAATGATATATTTTCTCAATAAGAGGAAGCTTATAGATGTACAACCCTACATAAAAGGAAAAAACTTGAAAATCCCCCTCAAGTTGGTGCATATCAATAAATCCTACCTAAAATATAAAGTCAACAAAAAGCTTCATATATTGTAGGAATGTTCTGTGGAAATGTGCCCTTTGGCCAATATTATGATAACTTTACACGTTTCAAGGCATAATTATTATGTGTTCCTATAGTAATTTATATGCTTAAACGATAAAGTCCAAGAATATTGATTGGAGAATGCAATCAATGAAGTGAGATCATGAGACCATTCTTTCGTAGAACATCCTAAATGTTCCTGATCATAGGATTCCAATGGGCATTGACAGTCCGTTAAGATCAGTACGTACTGTGTTCTTCTCTCAGGGAGAGTCTGGTATCGAGTCATTGGTGTGTGCGACATCAGACAAGTTACGTAGGTGCTCATTTAAAGAATGAGTTCACGAACACGTCACAAGAGTTCTATATTCATGTACATGAGATCTATGTTGAGATAATGCAAAGTAGTCTTTGAACCTGAGCATCATAGATTCTAATGGTTAGGTCCTTGATCTTTGATCATGTTAAACGCATCTTTGGAGTGTCCACGAGTTGGATAAGCTATCAATCATGTGCATTATGATTGCGCAATAAGGGATCTCTAACGTTCAATGGTTTTGAGGGAGAAACTCTATGATATGATTTAGGAATCTCTGCCAGAGTAATGAGATTTGGAATGCGTTCCAAATCACATTAAGGTAATCATATAAGCAACGAATACATTGGATAGTAGACATGAATAAAAAATTATCAAACACAATGTGGTCAAGATATTGATTAGAGAAGGCCTATTGCATTTGTAATCCCAAACTGAATAGGTTCTCCACCTCTTATGATAGCTTGGGTAACCATGATATGCTGCTAGTGTCACTCATGGTTTGTGAGCCTAAACGTTATAATCACTAAAGGAAATTGAAGTAATTTCAATACACAATGTTAAAGTTTTAATCGCCCACTGCCTCGCTAAAAGGAACTAATGGATCGTACAACGTTAAGGTAAAGATTGAAGAAACAATGGAGATGAGTAAGGAATGAAAATGGTTTAATTATTTATGGGCAAGGATAATTAATATGTTAATTAATCAAAACGAATAAGTTCGTTAAAGGCCGGATTTGTTTGGACGTTTAGGCCCAATGGGCTTTCGAACGTCAAGCCATGACTTAATTGTTGACAACTTAATCACAAAACCAAAAGCCAAACAACACCCTAAGCCGGCCATATGTTAAGGTAGTGAATTGCTTTTTACAGTTTGCCACTCAAATGAATAAAGGTATAAATGACTTTATAGCCAAAATTCATTTAGGTTTGTTTTGGAGAAAAATTGGAGAGAACAGTCTCTCCATTTCTCTCTAAAGAGGCCGGCCCTGGAGGGTGCATCTGCAATCCACTACTCAAGGCACTCATTTCTTTCCAATCTAACCTTGGTGAAGGAGACTAGAGGTTCTCAATTTTGGGAACTTGGAGAAACCTATTCTTCCATCCATCCATAGATTAATATGAAGGAATGAAGGCCCTCCTTTGGGTGATTAGCCTTTGCTTATGCAAAGAGGAATCTCAAGGTACATTTCAACTCACTTTGTTTTGAGTTGAGTTTTGGTTCACCAATCTACTAGGCTTTGAATTTCATGGTTATTTTTGTTTTAAGTGATGCAAGCAGATTCCGCCTTTTAATTGTTAATAGCATGCTATAGATGTTGCTTAAATGACATGTTTTCACAAAATATTCCTTCATGTTCATTTGCATTTTTGACTAGAATTTACCATTAACAAAAGAAAAGATATTTGTCCAAAAAAAAAAGATATTTGTGCGGCGCACAAGATTCTCCCAATTGACTATATTCGGTTCATTTTTTTTTTGTTAAACAATTAGCAGTTAACAGGATTACAAAATTAATTCGCGGTGTTAAGTTCGTCTTAAATACTTGCTTAGCCTATGTATTAAATTAAAATACACGAAATTAACGAAAAAAAATTAGAAATACACGAAATTACCAAAAAATGGCAAAAAAGCAAAGAAGAAACGCACACACCACCGCTTCAAACCTAACCTTATACTTGAAAAAAGAAAAATCCTTAAACGCCTGCACTCAACCTAGCTTCTCAACCTATAAAGAATGTATTTAATTGAGATTTAAAAGGATTTTAAAGTGAACGATTTTGATGAATTCATATATAGTCTGATTTAGTCTACAAAATTTACTTCTTCCAGTGAGATTTTGGAGGAATTTTGCTCAAAATTCACACAGAGGTCCATGAATTCCATTAAAACTCCATCAAACTCCATATGCTCCGTCACATGTATTATTCGTAACAGATGCAAAAACTTTTAAAGCCTTACCTGTGTTACCTGTATTAGAATCTATTTTTCGATTCGATAATCGACGTACACGACTTGTTACAGTGGGGATCACAAGTCTTGAACTGTTCTCGATCGGTCCTACTCCCATGTCCAGTTCGGTCAAATCCATTTGAAAAAGGACAAGCACGGGCAGCCATTGTGAAGTGGTTGCACGTGTGTACTGGAACCAAATGCAGCAGCAACTATGAGGCCCCAAAAACAAATACTAGTAAAATATATATACATATATATATATATATATATATATAAAGTAACCCTTCTTCCCTTTTTTTCCGCAACAACACAGCAATCATTTTTTCCTATTTCGCAACAGCAAGCTTTTTTATGTTATTCTTCAAACAGCAACAAGTGGGTCACTGGGTTCAATCGAATTTGGGCACGCAAAACAGATACACAGGTCAAAATCTGGGACAAATTTCAGGCAGTGGGTTGAATCTCGGTTCGTGGTGATGGATGCAGGGACCGACTCGGTGAACTCGGATCAGCAACGACGGCGTCGCTCGCTGGTTGATCGGCGCACTGCACAACTGGGTGCGTGGTGGGTAGTTCGGGTTCTCGGGTCAGCAACGACGGCGTCGCTCGCTGGTTGGACAGCGCTGCACAACTGGCTGCGCGGCTGGTAGTTATGGTTTTCCATATAGAGAACGATCTCGTCTCCTTTTTTTTTTTTTCAAAACCTAGGCTCTGGTGCCAAAAAATAGAATGCTTTGAATGATTCTATATTCTTCTCAATAAGAGGAACTTATAGGTGTACAACCCTAACATAAAAGGAAAGAAACTTGAAAACTCCCCCTCAAGTTGGTGCATATCAATTAAGGATCCTACCTAAAATACAAAAGTCAACAAAAGCTTCATATATTTTAGGAATGTTCATTTTGCATTTTCTGACTAGAATTTACCATTTTAACAAAAGAAAAGATATTTGTCCAAAAAAATAAAGATAATTTGTGCGGCGCACAAGTAAATTGAAAACAACGTCAATGACCGTACATAAACCTAGTATGTGAAATCTTTTCACTTTAACTAAAATATTATTTTCACTAATTCTTCCAATTGACTATATTCGAGTTCATTTTTTTTTTGTTAAACAAATTAGCGGTTAACAAGAATTACAAAATAATATCGCGAGGTTAAGTTCGTCTTAAAATACCTTTGCTATAGCCTATGTATACATATACCTGTGTGTGTGAAAATGTATTTGTGGAAAAAAGGAAAAATAATTTAATTAATGAATAAAAAATTAGAAATACACGAAATTACCAAAAAATGGCAAAAAGCAAAGAAGAAACGCACACACCACCGCTGTCAAACCTAACCCTTATACTTGAAAAAAGAAAAATCCTTAAAACGCCTGCACTCACACCTAGCCTTCTCAACCTATAAAGGAATGTATTTAATTGAGATTTAAAAGGATTTTAAAAGTGAACGATTTTGATGAATTTCATATATAGTCTGATTTAGTCTACAAAATTATACTTCTTCCAGTGATATTTTGGAGGAATTTTGCTCAAAATTCACAGGAGGTCCATGGAAATCCATTAAAACTCCATCAAACTCCATATGTTTGTAACTTTTTTAAATCCTTTTATTTTATAATTTAATGCATACACTATTTTTTTTATAACAAACGATAGCGTTAGTAGGTTAAATTGTTAGTTATTAGGAGCAAGGGATTGGTGAGGATCAAACACGCACCATAGTGCATAAATTTATATTTTTTATCTGAAATGACAAAATTGGTATAAGAAAAGGAATTGAATAACTAAACCTAGTCTAAAAAACAACCATGTTGTTGGACCCCGACCTAAAAGACCCGCATGATAATTGGCATGTTGTACCTTCCTTTCTTCAATCCCTGTAGCCATTTCTGATTTGATCAATTAACTTTTTTTTTTAATATTTGGTCACTGGATGTAATAGCTGATTTCTTTTCTTTTGTATCCTTGATGGCTAGGGTTTGATGGTGGCTAAATCTAGTTAGACTTGATATGGTGATATATAGTTTTATATGGAGATGTTAGGTGCAAAGATCTAAAGTTCAGACCCCAAAAAATTTATAATTGGATGATATAAAGCATTTATGCATCCATAAAAAGGGCAGTGTCAGGACTCAAAGACTCAAGCAGGGAGTCAACCAAGTTGTCTTTTGCTCTCAGTTGATTGATAGCTATATGAATTGTCAAGGCCTGCTTGTAGATATAGTGCTCCCAGTAACACTCAACTCTTTTTGTTTTTGGTCAGACAATTTGAACCACCCAAGTTAGAAGAAAAAGAAACAAAATTTACCAAATCTTCGCTGTTGTTCCGAAAGTACGTAAATACGAGTTTACTTAAAAACAAATGGATTTAAGGGCATGGTATACATGAAAATGTCTACATTATTGTTGCCCTATCGGATTTTAATCAACCATCATCAGAAGCAGAAAAATCGTTGCTATTCAAATCAAGACTTGACACATCCGAAGTTGACAGCTGCCTAAACAAAAATGAGAAAATATCTTTAATTTCACAAATTGACATCCCTTCGTAGCTATAGTCACCTGCAAGACCAACACAAGCGTCCTTCTTGGCATCTGCGCTGTCTTGCAGCTCCAATGCGCACTCCAGTTCCACTTGCACTTCGCCCATTGAGGGCCGCTCTGCTCCTGTAGGACTTACACATCTGTAAACGATATCCATAAATTTTTGCAAACAATCAGGAGCTATTTTACCCCTCAAAGAAGGGTCCATTATATCGCATAAGGTGTCCGGCCTGCCTGTGTATGTATGAAACTCTTTTGCCCATTTGGCAGTCAACACTTCCAGCAGCACCATTCCAAATGAGTAGACATCAGATTTTTCTGTAAATTGTTCCAAATGGAAATACTCGGGATCAATATACCCGAAAGTGCCCACGATCCTGTCAGAGGTCACTCGTATGAATTTATTTGACAAACTAGGAGGACCCATCTTGGACGTTAGTAAGTTTGAAACCTTTGCTTCGAACCTTTCATCCAATAGTATGATGGAGCATTTCACGTCGCGGTGGACAATAGCAAGTTTTAGCCCTGCATGGAGATAATGCAATGCGCGTGCTATCCCGATACATATGTTCAGCCTTTGCCTCCAGGGCAGCGGATCAAGATCCGCTCTTTTGAACAGCTTAGAAGAGAGGGCACCTTTGGCCATGTAGTCGTAGACAAGGATGAGTTCCTCCTTTTCTTCACAGAATCCAATAACAGGGAGAAGGTTGGGGTGGCGCAGCTGGCAGGACAGCAGCACCTCATTCCTGAAGTCTTGTCTACTGCCTGTAAATCGCTTGATTGCAACAACAGTTGCCCCGCCGTCGATGTACCCTTTATAGACTGTGCTCATGGCACTGCTACCAATATGGAACTTGTCGTTGAAGCATTCAGTGGCTGCTATGATCTCAGCTAGCGAAAATCGGCGGGATAATTCCTCCATAAAGGCCCAGTCTTGGTTTTGTCTGCGTTTCCTACTTTTATCACATGATGCTAGTTTCTTCCATGCAGAGAAGAAGAAACATGAGGCGGACTCTGCAGTAGTACTGAAACCCATCATTGTGCTAACTGTTGTCTAATTCCAAGATCAGGAGCTCAAAATCTTAGATTTAGACATTAAGAATCAATTGATGATGATCATAAGTCTTGGCACTCCTGGGCAAAGAGGACTTACTTTTGAAGTGGCATCCCCATAGTCAACTCAACATACTTTTCCAACTCAGAAGAGATTCACGCGTACATACGGGGTGAATTCGTAATGGGGACATGGAAAGAAATGTGAGAAAAATCAGAACCAAGTAATTTCTTCGAAATTGGCCAAACTTCGAGTTGGATTGGGATGCCAGCAACGCAGAAGTCACAAAACAGAC